ATTTGCATGGTTAACTGTTGCAAATTAAAAAGACTGAGAGGTTGTGTATGATGGGATTTCTCACCGCTTTTTTGCAGTTCTTTGATAACATAAATTTTTAAAAATCAAAAATTAAAATAAAATTAAAAATTTAAAGAAAAAAATTGAGCTGTTCTGAGAAAATTTTCGTTTTTTATTATTGCTTAACTTACCAGCAGCATAAATTTTTTAAAAAAACTACTAACCTATTTGTTTGATTGTTGTTAGTGATTCCATACACGTCACTAATTAAGGTAATTTATTTCCCTGTAAGTGTAAGTGCATTTTTTTCCCCTCTTCGAGAGGTGTGCGGTTGGTTTCTTTCATCCCGCTGTAATAGCGAGATGCTGACGCCGACCCTACGTCGGCTAGCGAGGTTCCCCTCAACCCAGCTTACCTCCCACCAGCGGGGCTACCGCCCGCAGGCGGGACAAGCTATAAGCTTCTAAAGGTGTCGCCAGCGTGTGTGATAGTTTAAAGTGCATGTGGAGTGTAATTAAGTGAGTGTAAGGGGGTGAGAACCATGACAAGAAGAGGAAGGAAAGATATGCGCGGTCCGTGGCCATTTTGTTAGGGTACTGCTCCGGCTTCTCTGGTCTTCAAATCGGAGAAATCACGAAAGCTACCGACAGAGCAGCGGCCGCTATAATTCTCCTCCAGAGACTGATTCCGACCTAGCTAACAAACTATTGTCGAAAATCCTACCATCGTTGGAGTGGAGTCCTAGGACTCTCGGACCGGGCACTGCAGTGACATCAAGGTGTTGCCCTGCGCCATCGTCCCGGTTCTATTTTTTGTGCCGGCTGTTAATTTGAAGAAGAGCTTTGATTACCTCCCCTTCTCGGACTGTCCCTAAAGGCGGGGGCAGGGCTGGGGGGCAGGCTGGGGGCGGCAAGTCCCGTGCTGCCGGGCGCACTGCGCCGCTCGTTCTTCGCGCGGCCGCCCGCGTCGCCGCCGCCGCCGCCGCCGCGCTCAGGTAGCGTCCAGCGAGCGCGCGGCGGCCGTAGCGCGGTCGGGCGAGGCGCCGCGCCGGTGGCCCCACGTCCAGCGGTTGCCGTGCAGCGCGCCGCCGCCCCGCGCCCAGCCCCACGCCCACGCCACCTCCGCGCAACTTGTCCGGGCACTGGTAGCGGCAGATCTGGATGGTGCACTGGAAAGTGCACCATCATCGATCCGGGAACTTGAACGCCTGCGCACACACGAACACACGTACATTAGGCGGAGGCCTCAGCGCGCCTTTAACGCTTGTTAACATGCAACCCCTAGAGGTTTGTTAAGGTGAACGTGTACTTACCTGCATGTTAAGAAATTTAACATCCTTAGCGATGTATAATAAACAATCATCGATTCATCCGCAAGTCAAATGTTATTAATGAACAAGACGATGTAACAAACCAAATCGAATAAAAGTAACTGCATAGTTTTGGAATTTATTTATTGTTGATTTGGTAACTTTTAATGTACAATTTAAAGAAAATCTAATATTTGGGTACATTCAACTTTCATTTTCGGGTCATTGCATCAAAATGAAACTTCTGCTGGTAATCCTTTTTTTACGTGACGAATCTTTGAAATGTCACTGGATGTCGATTCGCACCAACTCTCACCGGGGGGAACGTCATTTCTTTAAGTAATTTAGGTTTAGGAAGATTTAGTTGCGGTATCTTATCCGCGAACCCACGGTATAACGAATATTGTTTAACATAGATATATCCTAAAGTACACCTCACAATATTGTACTAACCAGCCGCAACAACAGAATAATTTGGCTTTCTATCTCTAGAAATATAAAATTCCCATAAGACGTTGAGATTTTATGGTGAACTGATAAAATTCTGAACATACCGCACGAATCTTACAATGTTTATTATTGCCATTCGTCCATGATGAAAAAATTTCGGCTCCGCCGGTTCCGCTCTGCGAATTTAAACTTTCAGGGCCTCTACAGTAATGAACTCCAACATTCCTAGTCCCGTTAATAGCTGCAAGGCTTACCTGGAATGATGTGCGCGTTAGGAGAGCACGGATGGCGCTGGCCCGAAGTTCTTTGATTCTTGGTGAAGCGCGACATGAGCTTGCCGCGTCACGCAGCCGCGCTGGTCCACCAGCTGGATGGGGCGCGGCGTCTTGCCGTCGTGCGCCATGCAGTGCGCACGCTAGCATGTTCGAACTTGGAGTCGCGTCTTGATGGCCAGCACCAATCGTCATCGTCTGCCGACTTCACCAGCCCCGACACCTCCGACGCCCACGGGCCCTGCCCACTGCCGTACAACACACACACACCGCTCTCTTCACTCCAAATGATGCGTCTCCCCTAATCGTCTCTACAGTTTCATTAAACCAGGAATAATTGAATGCTTTATCATTTATTCATACACCGAAAAAAAGGACCGTTGGAAATATCCCAGATCCATGATACTGTAACAAGGAAACGTATTACAGTATCAAAATGGATTCTTGGTATACTCCATTCGCTCTTTTTTCAAATTTTGTTTTTTGTGCCTAAGTAATGACATCTCGGGGCACCTCTCCTTGCCAACCGGTTGGCGGGAGGATTCTCTCCTCCAGATATCTCCGCCAGTACATCACTTAATTTCCGGCGCTCAAGGCCCGAAGGACACTACACACCTACCCATTAATAATTATATAATATTATATATATAATATTGAGATGTCATACTTAGTGCACAAAAACAAAATTTGAAAAAAAGAGCCGATGGAGTATACCAGATCCATGATACTGTAATACGTTTCCTTGTTACAGTATCATGGATCTGGGATATTCCAACGGTCCTTTTTTTCGGTGTATGAATCACTGAAAAAACATTCAATTTTCCTGGTTTAATGAAACTGTAGAGGCCGATAGGGGAGAGCGATCATTTGGAGTGAAGAGAGCGGTGTGTGTGTGTGCGCGCAGGTGGGCAAGGGCCCGTGGGCGTCGGAGGTGTCGGGGCTGGTGAAGATCGGGCAGACGATGACGATGGTGCTGGCCATCAAGGACGACGACTCCAAGTTCGACATGCTGGTGCGCAACTGCATGGCGCACGACGGCAAGCGCGCGCCCATCCAGCTGGTGGACCAGCGCGGCTGCGTGACGCGGCCCAAGCTCATGTCGCGCTTCACCAAGATCAAGAACTTCGGGGCCAGCGCCTCCGTGCTCTCCTACGCGCACTTCCAGGTAAGCCTTGCAGCTATTAACGGGCCTAGGAATGTTAGGAGTTTCATTACTGCAGAGGCCGAAAGTTAAAATTCGAGGCGGAACCAGCGGAGCCGAGATTTTTTCATGTGGACGAGGCAATAATAACATTGTAAGATTTCGTGGTATGTTCAGAATTTTATCAGTCACCATAAAATCTCACGTCTTATGGGAAATTTTATATTCTAGAGATAGAAAGCAAATTAATTCTGTTGTTGCGGCTGGTTAGTACAATATTGTGAGGTGTTACTTAGGATATATCTATTTAAACAATATTCGTATACCGTGGTTCGGGATAAGATGGACGCAACTAAATCTCCTAAACCTAAAATTACTTAAAGAAATGACGTTCGGTGAGGAAGTTGGTGCGTCGACATCCAGTGACATTTCAAAATTGTCAGTAAAAAAGGATTACCAGAGAAGTTTCATTTGGTGGAATGACCCGAAAATGAAGTTAATGTACCCAATATATATTTTCTTTAAATTGTACATTAAAAGTACAATCAACAATAATAATTCCAAAAACTATGAGTTACTTTTATTCCGATTTGGTTTGTACATCGTCTTGTTCTTAATAACATTTGACTTGCGATGAATCGATGGTTGTTTATTTACATCGCTAAGGATGTTAAATTTCTTAACATGCAGGTAAGTACACGTTCACTTAACAAACCTCTAGGGTTGCATGTTAACAAGCGTTAAAGGCGCGGGAGGCCTCCGCCTATGTACGTGTGTTCGTGTGTGCGCAGGCGTTCAAGTTCCCGGACTCGATGGAGGTGCACTTCCAGTGCACCATCCAGATCTGCCGCTACCAGTGCCCGGACCAGTGCGCGGAGGCGGGCGTGGGCGTGGGGCTGGGCGCGGGCGGCGGCGCGCTGCACGGCAACCTGCTGGACGTGGGCCACGGCGCGGCGCTGCCCGACTCCGGCTACGGGCCGCCCGCGCTGCCGCTGGACGCGTACCTGAGCGCGGCGGCGGCGGCGGCGGGGGCGGGGCGGCCGCGCGACGAGCGGCGCCGTGCGCCGGCAGCGGGACTTGCCGCCCCCAGCCGCCCCCCCAGCCCTGCCCCCGGCCTTTAGGGACGAGTCCGAGAAGGGAGGTAATCAAAGCTCTTCTTCAATTAACAGCCGGCACAAAAAAATAGTAACCGGGAGCGATGGCGCAGGCAACACCTTGATGTCACTGCAGTGCCCGTCCGAGAGTCCTAGGACTCCACTCCACGATGGTAGGATTTTCGACAATAGTTTGTTAGCTAGGTCGGAATTCAGTCTCTGGAGGAGAATTATAGCGGCCGCTGCTCTGTCGGTAGCTTTCGTTGATTTCTCCGATTTGAAGACCAGGAAATGCCGGAGCAGTACCCTACAAAATTGGGCCACCGGGACCGCGCATAATCTTTCCTTCCTCTTCTTTGTCATGGTCTCACCCCTTACACTCACTTTACACTCCACATGCACTTAAACTATCACACACGCTGGCACGCTGGTTAGAAAGCTTATAGCTTGTCCCGCCTGGGGCGGTGCCCCGCTGGTGGGAGGTAAGCTGGGTTGAGGGAACCTCGCTAGCCACGTAGGTCGGCGTCAGATCTCCGCTATACAGCGGATGAAAGAACCAACCGCCCACCTCTCGAAGAGGCGGAAAAAAATGCACTACACTCAGGGAATAAATTACCTTATTAGTGACGTTGTATGGGAATCACTAACAACAATCAACAAATAGGTTAGTAGTTTTTTTAAAATTTATGCGTGTGTAAGTTAAGCAATAATAAAAAAAACGAAAATTTTCTCAGAAAACAGCTTCAATTTTGTTCTAAATTTTAATTTTATTTTTAATTTTATTTTTAAAATTTATGTATCAAAGAACTGCAAAAAAGCGGTGGAGAAATCCCATCATAACAACCTCTTCAGTCTTTTTAATTTGCAACAGTTAACCAATGCAAATTAGAAATTTTGAAGATAGTTTTTTTTTTAGTTAAAATCTATTTCAAAGAGAGACATCTTCGAAAGGAAGATCATGTACAATTTTTGAGAAAACTGCCGGAGATTTTGCGTTAATTTCTGCTTGAAGTTAACGTAAATTATAAAAGAAACCTTTCTCAAATTCGCTCCATTTTTTCTTACTTTTTTCCCCACTGAGAGAACAAAGGACGCTCAAAAAGAATGGCGGGGTCCATTTTCCTTGAATTCTGAATTTGCAAACATTACCAAAGTTAGAAATAAAGGAAGAATATGTATTGCTGTTGAAGCACCACTTTCTCTCTTGCCTTTTTAAAATGCGTCACATTCCATATTGCTTGACACGGGAATAATGACAAGAACTATGGGAGCAAATTATTTAAGACGTTGTTTATAAAAGAAATTCCGCAAAGGATTGATGTATACAACCAGTTACAGTTACACTACAATTCCGTGAATAAACGGGTGTGCATATTCCTAACTACCATCCTTTAGTGGCGCGTAGAGTACATTTTTTGTTTACAGTGGGTCTGATGTAACAATACTTGTTGTATATTATAACTCCTTTTCCGGTAAAAGGCAACTAAGGTTTTTCGGCCCATACTTTCCTAAATGCATAGTAACACTTCCGTGGTTGGCTATTAACTTATATCCGAGAGCAATTAAAATTACACATGTCTGAGAATGTACAATAAATTCTTTTGGGAGCAATTTTACTTTTGTACATATTGAAGAAACAATCTTTCAGACCAACGCACATTTGTCACTTGCACAAATTACTTCTGTAAGCTAAGTAACTCTGGTCACCAGGCTCTCAGTTCGAAAATCAATTGGTCTTTGGTAAATGGGTCTTAGGCGTGCGTAAGCACGTGATTAATTAAGGGGTGGTAAATCTGTGTATCTGTAAGAAGTGTACGTATGTGTATGTAGAGTTTCAAAATATTTTAATAGAAACAGTGGGGCCTGCTTGGGGCTGTAGGAAGCTCCATCTATTATATCATTTTTCGTTGTTGTAGGAGTTGTAGTTTCTTTTATTGTGTTGTAAAAGTAGATGTATTGAAAATATTGTGGGGTTTTGTTTACCACATGCAATTCAGCAATTGTACCGAATTGTTGTTGTTGTTACTATTATTATTAATTATTATATTATTATTATTATTATTATTTGATTATATTACGATTGTAATTGTTATCACTCGTAGAATGTCGGTTACCAGTCGAAGTTGAAATTCATTGTGCAAATCTTTTAAATATCTCATTACGATATTTAGGCCGAAGTGCTCCCGGTTTTTGAAAATATTTCTTGAAACGTTTCTGCGCAGTCTTACGTAGTAGCTCTCTACCTCCCCCGGTAGGAAGGGAGCGGAGGGTGTGAACGCTTTGTGTCTGCGCTGCGTAGGTGGCGTGAACCGCGTGATCCGCGTGGTGTCGACGGGCGACCTCACCTTCTCGCTGGACGAGGCTGCGGGCAACGCCAGCGCCAGCAGCGGCGGCGGCGCGGCTCAGACCATGGTGTTCCCGGCGCGCGGCGAGACGCGCCGCTGGCCGGCCTCATCTGCATGACGAAGCCCGGCTTCCCGCCACGCCTCGTCGTGCTGCTGGCCATCCTGGTGGTGTCGTGCCTGCTGTCGGCCTTCCTCTGCGTCAAGCTGCGCCCCTTCTCGCACAAGAGCCCCGACGCCGCCCCCGCCCCGCGCCCGGCCCGCCGCGCCGCCGGCGTCGTCAGAAGACGGCCAAGAGCTGCTTCTACTCGTAGGACGTTTTGCCTCGCAGCGCTTCTTTCGCGACGCCGTGTTCTCGGAGGGGGAGGACGCAACGGTACGTATGTGACTGCCTCTTCTCGTCGTGTTCCTCTTAGCTCCGATATAGTGGGAACAGACGGGCTACCCCTTGCTCAGGTAAGGCGCGGTTCTCCGTCCCGTATCGTTGCTCCCTTCGCTGTATTTCCTCCTTCACAACACTGTCTAAGGGATACGCCAATTCCGCCAGTGAGCGGTCGTTTGAGCTCTGCGTCCACGGCTTCCGCCCACGCCGCGCGGTGGCAGCGGCGCGCGGGGAGCGGCGTGGCGGCGACGCGCAGCGGCGCGGGCGTCGGCGGCGGGTCCGGCGACGCCTCGCCCGCCGCTCCGCCCCGCTCCGCCCCGCTCCACCCGCCCCGCCGGCCGCATCCCTCCGCTGGCTCCACTCCCACAACTCTGCTCGCCCACACGTTTTGTCTCGAGATTCATAATCCTGGCACTGAAATTCGAATTTATGTTGGATAAAATACACGTGCTTAGTTCAAAACTGTGCCATTACGTCGAATTAGGAGGCATGGAAATTCGGGATGATTGATTTTTTGCTAATGTCCTTTTCTCGGATCTGCAGCAGTGCTAGTGAACTGAGTCATGACTTACATTCACGAACGTTTGGAGTGTTATGAAAACTTTAAGCATCTCTTTGCGTTTGATTTCATGGCAAATGAGAATGTAAAAATGCTGTTTTTTCCGTCGTGAAACTGGGCAATGTTATTGGGCCTAGTGCTACAGATGCAATTTTCTTTCCACTCGCAACAATTGCCTTACAGCTCGTTTCACTACAAAGCTAAAGCGATCTTTCATTTAATTTTATTGATCACTCGAATTGAATATTTTTATTCAAACAATTATTGCTTCCTGGTAGGAATAAAGAAATAGAAAATAATTAATAAGAATGCCCTATGGACTGAATCACAGAACTTAGTAAAAGTGTCTCTTAGAAGCAAAAATAATTCAGAATATGTGCCTTTTTTCGTAATTTCAGTCATTCATGTCATTCGCGTATTTTTGTAAGTGGTCGGTCTCCTGTTCACGTCTCATATTTTCAAATTAATGCAACTTTGATTAGAGAAATTCAAAATTAAGCACGGAAAGCTCTATTTCGCCGTAAAGAAGCGGTGGTTTACGCGTGTCATAACATTTTTGCCAATGACATTGTAATTGTTTGTGCTAGTGACGGTTGTCCCGCCGCAAGGGGTTCGCCTGGACATCCAATGTAGCGCCTCTGGAGGGATGAACCGGCTAGCTCTCTCGCGCCAGGGCAGAGGGCAGAGGGCGAAGGCGGCGGCAGCTTTAGGGCCGAGCTCACCTCGCTCACCCAGTCATTTGTTATATCATATTATTATTTAATTATTGTTTTATTTATAAACGCAGCTCAAATCTTACCTCTAGGGACTGTAACTCTTTGGGAAGCTCTCGCCGGTCGTTTTTGCGATCTGGAGAGCGAATGGGGGTGTTTGCGACTTCGGATTTCGATTATGTTTTCTTGACAATTTGGCTTAGCCTTGGACTACTTCATTCTTCTGAGTCAGTGTTTATGAAAGTATCTAGATATAGAATCATGTTTTATGTAGGTCTTCACAAAATAGGTCTGAAATTGTATTTCTTCTCATAAATAAATTTCATTATAGATTCTTGGGTTCTACACTGTCAACAAAACATAATTGATAATGTAAATAATGTTTTTCTAGAAGCTAGTTTCTTGTGAAATGAAAGGTCCGGAAACCCAGTTCCTGTTCGTCTGAATATTAAGATATTTCACTAAAGACCGAATGTGAACAAATTGTAGGTAGACTTATAGAGCACAATAAAATATATTGAGATGTAAGACAATCCAGATTGTTCTGTAAGGGTTTCCACTTTGTGTTTAACTTTGAAGCATACTCGAAAAAATATAATCAAACTTAAGTTTGTACATAAATTATACATTTGTGAGAATGGTTTCAAAGTAAATACAAGCACCCACAGTGTATTAATTTATATATGTTTTGCCAAACTACCATCTAAGGTTTGGGCGAATGTGTTATCACGTGTGAGCATGGTTATTATATTATTTATTTTGTGAATAAAAATGTAACAAAAGAAATTATTTATTATTAAATTGATATAGTGTGAATGATAAATGTATGAATGTTCTAACAAATTTAGTTATTTTTTTGTGAATTTATGGTTTAAACATTTCAATAAAGGATTGAATTATTAAGATATTATTTTCTATTCCTTCAGATCCACTTTATGTTTTATCCACTTTAACAAATAAATGTGTAGACCTACATCAGCTGTGGAGAAGTAAGGTAAGCAATTACTTCATACTTTATCGTATACTTGAATGTGTTGAAATGTTATTGAAAATCGATGTTTAAATTTTTACGGAAATACACATTTAAAGCTATTTGTGCTACAACAGCACATACTTTCTCGCAATATTACAATGTCGTTATGTACGACGTGACGCCCATACTGCTTCGTTAATTTCAAACAGCTTTACTTTCAATGACGCAAGAACTACCAACTTTTACAAAAAATTGTATATGACCTTATTTAAAAGAGCTAATTTTGTACAATAGACTGAATCTGAGGCAAAAATCTCTTTCTTCAATTTATGTAAGTATTAGTGACTCTGGTGCATTTTTTAAATTAATCATTGGTGCGTCCGAATGAACGATACAGATTCTTGATAAACTACAGAGATGTTTATTAACCAAGTATTGACAATTAATTATTGAGAATCGTTCTAGGAAAAGTTTCTTTCGATTGTGCAGATTAAAATTACAGTTAATATTATATTATGCTTGTCAGTTTTAATTTATTTTTTATTAGTAATTTTTACGTGGAATATTATTTAAAATAAATTGGATCGTAATTCCACTTTGAAGCTACTTCACTAGCACAAAGCCACCTGCGGTAGGATAGGGCGGGAGCTGTCCGCTAATAGGCCTCGGGTGAATCCTGCATGTCAATTACCATGAAACGATTCTATATAAACGTTTAACTGATAAAAGTTACCATAACTCGTCGAAAACGTACTGTATGAAACTCTATGTAATGGGTATAAATACACTCGTGTGAAGTTTACGATACTCGCTTGTTCCTCACTCGTACCATAATATCACACTCCTGTAATAACAACCATTATAACATCATCGTTTCATGATGTACTATTGAATATTTATAGAAATCTCAAAAGTTTTAAATTGACTATTCCAAATGTGAAATTAAAACCAATAACGCTAAACTATACACATTAAATGCACCAATCAGGGCGGTGTATCAAAAATAATCACTTTCTATCCTTTTCAATCCTCTTCATACTGGCCAATAATAAGCTGCAACTTATCTATCTTACTAGGCGGTATCTGTTGTTCGCATGTGTTGATGTGTAATAAATCACGTAATACCATGACAAAACATTTTTGATTTCAACCTCTTTCAGTTATTTTTATTATTTGGCGCATTTAGGAACTGTTTTGGACATAATTTCATTCATAGAATAGTTCTATTAAATAAGACACGTACTTTAGAAAATCTCAGATAAATCCCCACCTCACTTCGCGAGTCGGCGATTTATCGACAACTTCCAAAGCACTTGTGGTGTAGAAAAATGGCTTATTTTGTTTAGAAACATTCTAACGAAGTGTTTCAAATTTCCCTCCGAATATTTCCATATGAAAATAGGTTTTGCCCTTTTGTGTACACTAATTACTCTGATATATGGAAAACAAAAAATTGTAAAAAAATACATATTTTCAGTACAGTAGTACAATATTTACAATATATATTTTACAGGGAAGATTACTAAACTACTGGCTGATAGAGAAAATCTTTGAATAGTATATTCTTTAATATTTTCTGTAAAGTGCAAAGATAAGGTATTCAAAGGTTGAAAAAACTTCGAAACAATGTTGGTACTGCAGTAAATTCTGTTGAATATCAGTGGATAATTTGTTTGTGTTGATGCACATTGTTCATCTGTTATGAAAATAAACCAACAATTTTCTATATAAAGTGTGTTTGAAAACACATGGTGTGCTATCTCAAGCAGTTTAATGAAAAGTTATTTGGACTTAATAGTTTATATAATAAATGTTAATAATATAATTTGCAATACACTCCATCATTATGTAGAATTATTGCAAATTGAACAAGAAATACTCTGCCATATTTTAGCACCATTGGTTCTTTTTTTGTTGTTTTATAATTGTAAACATTTAATTTTAAAGTGTTTTTCTTAAGCTGTTAAATCCAAATTGTGGGTTTAAGAATGTGAATATTTAGTTTGGCATATTGAAAAAACTTGCACAATTTTTAATACATAAAAATTTCACAGTAAACCCATATTCTTTTTTGTTCATAGAAAATCCATTACATTCATGCAACTCATTTATCACCTCATTTTAATTTCTCCTAGTACATGGTAAATTACCACACATTGAATGTTTTCAAATTATGTGCATTATGTACATGAAGTACATAAAAGTGTACATCAAAATATATTTTTATAAAAAACACATTTATTTCATACAAGCTTTGTATGTGGTTTTAATTAAACACTTTCCTTCCCTAAAATGAATTTAACAAAACCACATTTGATGAAAATAAAAATTAATGAAATCAAATAAATATTACATACAACTGATATATATATATATATATATATATATATATATATATATATATATATATATATATATATATATCATTGAGAATCTATTAAGTAAAGACTATTTTTATTTTCTCACTCGTATGTGTTCATACCCAACTGATGTCTATTCAATTTTTTTTCTTTCTGATTGTTTCCGTTCTGGATAACTAATCCTCGATTTCATATTTTTTTTAAACATTAAAAGCAAACACAAAATAAAATCGATGTGCCTCTGCATAACGTACTTAAAATAGAAGTAGTGAATAAATATACATCCTTAGAACCACTTCCAAATATTATTATCTAATCATACCTTTTATTAACCAATATAATAATTATTTTACCAATAATTTATTTACGTCGTGAAACTTTTTCAAAACATATAATTTTCTTTGTTCGCGTTCTTAAATCTTTTTCAGCTCTTTTGGAGAAGCCTATGTTATGATTTGCAAGGTGGTTAGACAGGTGTTCTAGGTTATTCACAGAAATGCTTAGATGTGTGTATTCAGATGTCTTCATTCTGTTTACTCCATGATCGTTTGCGCTAGCTGCCTTCCTTCCAAGATCAGTTGGGAGTTTGCCTAAAGAGTTAACAGGTTAGGTAGGTGTGGTGTGTTGTGAAGAAGTTTAGTATGAGTGAAGTAAATAGTTTTGAAATTCGTAGTGCAATGTTTGCAAACAAAACTAAATTGTGTTCATTTACAACAACTGTACATCCAGACGAGAATGCCGATTCGTTTCAAGAACAAAGCTGCATCAGCTGTAAGAAATTGGAAGGTAAGTTAAATATTTTCTGTAATGTCTTGATAGAACGATAGAGCGAGCTGAAATGTATGGTAACTTGTTGATTATCGTGTACTTCGGAAGAGGGGAACTCCACATTCATTTCTAACATTGTTTTGAGTAATGAATTTATTACGCGAAAAGATACTTTATCGATAAAATGTTTATCAGGTATGTTGTACGATATCTTTACCTTTAAGTATATTTTTTTGATGTGGTTCCATATTTTAGTGTAAGGTATATTCAGAAAGTAGGAAAGGTATCTTTGACCCACGTGAATAGGATGATAAGTCGGCTTTTGCAGAAAGTGGAATACGTATCTTACTAGATTCTTCTAATTATTGTACTCGAACTCTGCACTTGTGCATTACCAGTTAACTCAGCTTTTTCTGTCTGTGGAGTAATTGGTGCATGTATATCCTCAGCCTCCCCCGTCCTGCTTATAATCATGTGCCAGGTGATGAACTGTAGTAATATTCTTTAATATTGTACTGAACGAATAGTGTTTAATATTATTTGCTACGCCCGCTCCTCCGCCGTTTCCCCTCTCCACTGAGACGTCAGTCAAGAGGGGTGGGGGAGTTTCAGTTAATAGTATTTTAGTTATTATCTATTATCACAAAAGGTTTAGCATATCTTTCGGATATCGTGAATGTATTCTCGTAGGAGTTTTTAATATTTTCTCCTAACTTTTATGCTCCAAGGAGTAGATGGAAAAAGAGTAGTACATTTGTCTTTCTTATGTATTGATTTAAAGGTTCTATGTGAAGTTATCTTTGAATATGAATGTTCGAGACGAGACAAGGAGTCTTTTCATATTTTAGTAGAATTTTTTCTGTAAATATGATGCAATTCAACATTAATTTTTGCTGTTTTACTCCAGACTGGACAGGTATATGTGAGTGTGGTACTAATAATTGATTTAAATATTAAAATTGCACATTCCAAATTTAAGGCTAGTGAAAGTTTATTAATGAATAAATTCTCATTACTTCATGTATGTTCAATTTTTTATTACTGGAATTTACTTCTTCCAAGTTAACCTGCTATCAAGTGTATCCCAAGATACTTCTCTGGTGTATCAGATGAAAGCCGTGTGATTAATTAGAATGGCATTATTTAATATTAATGGGCGAGGTAACTTTGATTGACGATGAAGATTTTTGGCGCCAGCTTTAATTGGATTTATTTTTATGCTCCAATTTTGAGCCCACCGAATACTTTCCATGTTGAAGCACATCTCAAAATTATCAAAAGTAATATCGCAGCACATCGAGGGATATTTAGTGTAACTATTTCACGATTTAAGAATGAATGGATAATTGAAATAACAAAAATTACGAAAGATAAATATTACTCAAAATTACTACCGGTATATGTGAAAGTTTCATGAAACTCTGATTTATCACAGCATCCAGGAATAATTTGTAATAAAGTAAAATATCAATAGTAAAATTCTTGAAATTGCTTCCACACACTTTATATGTTTCTTTTTCTGTTTATCGGCACCGAATTTTTAATAATAGATTCTATTTTAGAGTTTTTAAAATTACCAAATCGACATATTTTAATATTATATTAACACATAACCTATTATGGACCTAACACAATTGTTTTCCTATGTTTTCCTAAAATAGTAAACAATGTAATTACAGCGGAGAAAAAACGTAAACAAAGTGATAATTTTATGACGATATACATCTTTCTTGTAATCTTTTCCTCATACACGGTCGCGCATTCGTAGGCTTTCAGCAATACACCGTGATACATCGTTCTTCAAACTACTACTTTTAGCTCCAGGATGTTATCTTGAAAATCTCGATGTAGAAAAGATATTTAGGGCTCAGGAATATTGACGTGCTTTGTATAATTTGGCATCAAACTTTGCCGCTCATTTCAAATTTCCCACGCTTTGTGAACGTAATTTGAGAACTGATTGGAAGCGGTTGTATATTTTGATAATTCCTTTTCATTGTTTAACTTAATATTAATTCATTTATATTACAAATGGAAGAACATTAGGTTCAAAAACGTATACCTATATTTATTGCAATGTAAACGCATAATTAAGCGTAACAAACATTGTGAAGAAGCACGTGCTTTGTCATTTGCGTGAAGAATGTAATACAGGAGTTATCAATTTGGAATATTTATTGGTTTGAGCGTTTCATTCAGGACTTAGAGACGATTATAATTTTATATTTTTCTATCTCCATCAAGTTTTTTCTTGATGAATGGATACACGCGCGGTGTTGCTGTTTGACGAGTTGTGATTTAGAAATTCTTTTGAATTCTTTTGTTCCTTGAAAATGGACATGGAACTACTATGATGCTTTTTATTAATTTAATGTCAAAAATAATTCAAAGCTGTTTGGAAGAGAAGGGGAGAAAAAAAGTGGGGAGAAATGTATTCTGTGAACGATTTCTTAAATTCTGGGATGCCTATACCCTAATCCAGCGTTCGCCAACTGGCAGAGAAATGGCGCTGGAGCTCAATTCCCCTCCGCCAGCACCTGAAAATAGAAGCAGCGTGAGCAAAGGGGAGAGGCAGAGAGGGGTAGATGGCTGTCGCCGGCGACAAAAACCTTGGCAGTGGCAAGTGTTTCAGGTAACATAAGAGCCCATCAACGCCCGTTAATTTTCTTTCGATTTGGGAAGAAATGTTTCTTTTTGTTGATACCGTAATAAAACTGTGGTAACTGAGTTTGAAAGATCTACAGTATGATAAAAAGATCAACCGACAGAGGCATTACGCAGATTTGCAACCCAGAAAAACCCGTGAGATGAAAATTTACAGATAGCCTGCAATCATGAGGTGAGAGAAGAATTTTGCAGGTAGAAGGTTATGGAAAAGGTACAGCAAATCATAAAGATTTACATTCTCAGACAAAAATGAACATGAAATAATCAAGCATGGAGTCCAAATTCTCCCACGTGACCCCTCCCGGGTATCTATTTTGTGATGTGTCACGCGGGCCTCGCGGTCCAGACCGCGAAACTACCATCAGGGGGGTTCGTTCCCCTTTTATTAACCCTCTGCTTTTTTTAAAACGTGCTTTGTCAATTAAGAGAGCTGCCCGGCCGGTATTCGGTAGCTGGTATTCGTTCCGCCACCCACACGTTAGTTTTAAAATTGTCCGCTCTCACCGTGCTGCGAGATTAGCCTATTCCGCGAACTATTCACCTCCACTTGAGGCCGAATCATTAATAGTGCGAAATGAACCGTCTTTCGGTGGTGAAACCGGTATTTCTCACTCGTAACTGCTTTAAATACCAGCTTCTTCCTCGCACATTAGCTCCGGATAAAGTTCATGTAGCAATTTCCTCGCGTCCGCTCTCGACGAAATCTATCATTTGTCTTTTAATGAGAGCACTCCTCACGTGCTCAGCTGCAGAATCCTCTTCCATCTACGCAAATTTCGACTCCGCCCTCTCTCGTTCTCATCCATGGTGATCGCTGTTCTTTTTGAAGTCTAACGCGATTTCGCATTGATGGCCCTGAAATTTGGTTCTTAAACTGCCGCACTTCGCCTTCTCGCGCCCTTGGAGATCACTTTGATTAGATTTATTAATAATTCCTGCATTAAGTGAAGAACTTAGGCTGGCAGAATACACTAACTGTAACATTTACAGAACTTAAACAACTATACAAACTCTTCAAACGTACAAAATTCACATGAACATTTTCAACCGTGCGAATCTTTCATAGAACTCCACTTCACCACACTTCACCGCACTGCGATACAGGTGCACAAACGTCACTGCACTTCAGCGCCACTGCACTGCACAAATAATAAAAATAATTAATTAATAATAATAATTAATAATTAATAATAATAATAACAATTAATAACATTAATAATTAATTACAATAATAAGTGTTAATAATGATAATAACATTAATAATAATAACATCAATAATAATAACCGATAATAGGAATAATACTTAATTACAAAGGAAGACATAGGTAATTGCACTGAATTTTATTAAATTATTTAAACAACTATCCACATTCAAGAAACTAATTCTCATTTTTAAATTGTCTCAGGCTTTTGAAGGGATCGAGATTGGTCGGCACAAACGTGCCCACTCCCTAATTGTGCAGAATTCTGCGTACATTGAATATTTTCCCAACTGTCCGTTTTCTGAATTTCTTGTCTGATTTTGTTGCATGTGATCCGCTCTGCAGAACTTTGCGCGTGGTCTAATTTCTGGCAGGCCTATTTGTTGTGCGCTAAAGACGTAGTTTATTTGAGAATTAATGCCGGCTTCGCGCGAGATTATGTTTCGTAAATTCGTGGTTGCTGCGCGGCGAATCTGCGTTGTACAGCGAATGATTAGTGCGATGTACTACGATGATATTTCTTTTATTCTTCTCTGATCTCATTCTATACGTTTTAAATTTCTGCTTATCTATTCTCTCTTATTATTATTCACAGTGGCAGTGGTTTTGATTAGCCGTCGATGATCTTTTTGTTGAATTTCCTGGCTTCTTGCAACCTGCCGTTGAATTTGAGATGGACGTGGCTTGCTCCAACTGGTAATTAATAAAATCCACCTCGTCTTCCTTTGATTACGTTGATGAATTTTCCAAACACAGTGAGCAGCGTGTCCTACGAACTGCGCCAATTATGATTCCACTGAACAGAAAGTCAAAGTTTTGTTAAAGTATTTTATTACAATAAGTCGTACAGCAGTTGCTATACTTGGGGTTGAAATAGAAATTGAAAGTTGATTCTGACATCGAGGAGCGTGAGCGCGGTCTGGATGGAACAATGCGTGTGAGAGCTCTTAGCTGCCCGTTTATATATCAATTTCCAATTTATTCACTAGTAAGATCAACAAACACAGATTTCTCTTTCGTATCGTTTCTAGTAAACACCTGGTATGCATTGGGTTATCCGTTAGCCGAGGGATGTAACTCGCGGCTGGCCGCTGGACTCGTTCCGGATGATTGCTGATTTCCACCAGTAGCAATCATTTTGATCCGCCT